TATGCAGAGTACATCATGTGAAATGCCAGGCTGAATGAAGTACAAGCTGGAATCAAGATTGCCAGGAAAAATATCAATAACCTCAGATATGCAAATAACATCACCTTAATGGCAGAAAGCGAAGAACTAAAGAGCCTCTTGATGAAAGTGAAAGAGCAGAGTGAAAAAGCTGGCTTAAAACTCAACATTCAGAAAACTAAGATCATGGCATCCAGTCCCATCACTTCATGGCAAATACATGGGGAAACAATAGAAACAGTGAGAGACTTTGTCTTTTTGGGCTCCAAAATCACTGCAGATGGTGACTACAGCCATGAAATTAAATGACACTTGCTCCTTGGAAGAAAAACTATGACCAACTTAGACAACATATTTAAAAGCAGAGACATTACTTTGCCAACAAAGGTCCATCTAGTCAAAGCTATAATTTTTCCAGTAGCCATGTATGGATGTGAAAGTTGGACTATAAAGAAAGCTGAGTGCCATAGAATTGATGCTTTTGAACTGTGGTGTTGGAGAAGACTCTTGAGAGTCCCTTGGACTACAAGGAGATCCAACCAGTCGATCCTAAAGGAAATCAGTCCTGAATATTCGTTGTAAAGACTGATACTGAAGCTGAAGCTCCAATACTCTGGCTACTTGATGCAAAGAACTGACTCATTAGAAAAGATCCTGATGCTGGGAAAGATTGAAGGCAGGAGGAGAAGGGGACAACGGAGGATGAGATGGTTGGATGGCATCACCAACTCAATGGACATGAGTTTGAGCAAGCTCCAAGAGTTGGTCATGGACAGGGAAGCCTGGCATGCTTCAGTCCATAGCATTACAAAGAGTCACACACGATTGAGTGAACTGAACTGAACCATCTTTCTAGATTCCATATATACACATTAATATACAATATTTATCTTTCTCTTTCTTATTTCACTCTGTATTATAGGCTCTAGGTCCCTCTTTCTTACTTTACTCTGTATTATAGGCTCTAGGTTCATCCACATTATTAGAACTGAGTCAAATGTGTTCATTTTTATGGCTGAGTAATATTCCATTGTGTATATGAACTGTAATTTCTTTATCCATTCATCTGTTGATGGACATCTAGTTGCTTCCACGTTCTAGTGTAATGTAAATAGTGCTGCAATGAATGTTGAGAAGAATGTGTCTTTTTCAATTATGATTTCCGCAGGGTATACGCAGGCTACCCTGGTGGCTCAGATGGCAAAGAATATGCCTGCTATGCAGGAGGCCCAGGTTCGATCCCTGGGTGTGGAAGATCCCCTGGAGAAGGAAATGGCTACCCACTCCCGTATTCTTACCTGGAGAGCTACATGAACAGAAGAGCGTGGTGGGCTACAGTCCATGGGGTCACAAAAAGTTGGACATGACTGAGTGAGTTACACTTTCAGTTTTCAGGGTATATGCCCAGTAGTGAGATCGTACCACATATTCTTCATCCATTCCCCAATTTGAGGGGTTCTTATTGCCCTTCTCTTGGCCTTCCTGCCTCCCTGGGCTCTCAGATATACACGCTTATGCTTGCAGCTGATCCTAAGCACCTTCATCAAAGGATGGATGGACCATCACCATTTCCTGAACACTCTGGTACTTGGTACCAGGGAACCCCATGGTCACAACACTTTTTGCCTAGATTTCTGTGATATCCAGGTCTCATACAGATGTCATAAGACAAGGAGAACCACTGTATTTCTGGTGCTTCATGTAGAGGCAGACACATAGTAGGTGCTGACAGCTTTTAAAAATGCCTTCCTATCATTGATAGCACAATAAGAGCAGTGACCCTGACAGCAACAACCATCACCGCTGTGTGCCAAGGGCTCACTATCGGCTGGCACTGTTCTGCATGCTTTGTATGTACTGTCTCATCTAATGCCCTCAGTAGCCCTATGGGACAGGTACTCTTCCAAGCTACACGTTACAGATGAGGAACTGGGGCACAAAAAAGTCAAGTACGTTGCTTAAAGTCACGCAGGTCCTATGGGATGGGGCCAGCATCTGTATCTGGAAGGAGTCCAAGCACCTAGCTGTGAGGTCAGACTTCAGCGCCCCTATTTTTCTACTGAAACTCCCTCCCCTCAATTTCTCCAGGCTACTACCTTCCTCTCTTTCCAGATGCATTTTACCTGACACCTCCTCTTGCAAGGCTCCCCCATCTGTCAGCCCACAGTCCCCAAGACTGAGCTGGGGACTCTTGCTTTTTTTCCCTAGCATCATGTAGATGAGTCCATTGCACTTGCTGTGAAGGCACATTTATTTTCTCCCACACAATTCAACAATAATATCCTACCCATCACTCTATCACCACCGCCTGGCAGCATGCTGGATACTTGGTCATTGCTTGTTGAGTGGTGAACATTACCTATAAAGGATCAGAGAGTAAATTAGACTTTGCAGACTACATGCAGACTCTATTGCTGCCTCTCCTCTTCCTCCTCCCAGTTCTTGAAAAATATGAAAACCATTCTTACCTTCAGGGCCATACAAAAACAGGCCATGGGGTCAGTTGTACCAATGGTTCATAGCTGGCCAAGTCCCCTGTCATTGGGGAAGACATTTCTAAACAAACAAAAAAAAATTACTAGTCAAACTAATTCAATGATTTTTCACATGAGGGCCTTATGGGTATATCAAAATGGCAGGCAGAGGTTGGGTGGATGTGTTTGATTGTCACAATGACTGGGGAGAGGGGTTAGCCACACTTGGTGTTAACAGGTGCACCCAGGATGCTAAGCATCTGGCAATGCTCAGGGCAGTCCTGGATAATGTGTCAGAGACTCACTGAGGCACACAGGTTGGTTGGTTGATGCTTCTTTCTTACTGCTTTCAGTAATATGCAATCATGTTGGGAATTCACTGAAGTAAAAGGAATTAGAGAACCACCAGTTCCTTCTCAGATCCAGTTGTTTAGGTGGTACAAACAGGAGAAATGAGACTGTATGCCTTGAGGCAAGGAAGGAACCTCTTGGGTTTCTCTTGGGATCCCTGGCACAACCTTAAGACCTGCTGTAGCTTCTTGTGGCTTCTAAGGTCTGCCCCAGAGCAGGGTTGGCCCTGGAAGATCACCTGGGGAGTATGAACGGAAGCAGGGATTCATCAAACTGTGTCATAATCAGTCCTGAGCAGGCCAGATCCATCCTTGAGGCCTGTCCCTTGTTGAACTGGGGAAGATGCAAAGCTGTGTGTGGGCGGTTTCATTGAAAGTGGACAACCAAGCCACAAGAAACATGGAGTGGAGAGGCTTGGTTAGTGGTTGATCCAGGAAGCCCAGAGCAGCCTGCAGAACAGCCACCTGACCCCTCTTCATCCCCCACTTCATCCCATCGTGGCTTCCCTGGTGGCTCAGATGGTAAGGAATCAGCCTGCAATGCAGGAAACCTGAGTTTGATTCCTGGGTCGGGGAGATCTGGAGAAGGGAACGGCAACCCATCCCAGTATTCTTGCCTGGAGAATCCCAGGGACAGAGGAGCCTGGCGGGCTACAGTCCACGGGGTCAAAAAGAGTTGGACATGACTGAGCGAGGAACACTTTCACTTTCATCATATTATGCATCTGGAGTTTAAGCACCTGGAGTTTAAGCACATGTTTCGATTTAAGTAACACAGGTAAAATCTCTCATGCTGTCATCATGAAAACTAATCAAATATTAGTCTAAACTTTTACTTAGACTCTAGCAGGCACTTTAGAAAAATGTACCAATAAGTACAAAAGGGTCCAATCTTCTTTTGAAGAGCTTTAATGGTAGTTCTCTAGACCATAGAGACTTAGAATTGGGCATAAGGGTCTAGATTTGGAGACTACTTCCAGCTCTTATTAGCTATGGGTGAGTTCTGTTCTATTTATTTTTGGTTGCTCTGGGTCTTCTTTGGTGTGCCTGGGCTTCCTCTAGTTGTGGCGAGCGAGGGCTAGTCTTCCATGCAGTGCAGAGGCTTCTCATTGCAGTGGCTTCTCTTGTTGTGAAGCGCAGGCTCTAGTCATGCAGTCTTCAGTAGCTGCGGCCCAGGGGTTCAGTAGCTGTGATGCACGGGCTTAGATTCGTGTGGAGTCTTTCCAGGTCAGGGATGAGCCCATGTCCCCTACACTGGCAAGCAGATTCTTACCCACTGTACCACCAGGGAAGTCCAGCCATGGGTGAGTTCTCCACTCTCTCTCGGAGTCTTCATTTCCCCATTTGTAAAGCCAGAATGATTGACCCCTTCCCATCCTGTTCTCTGGGGGTGATTTTGGTAATGCAAAAGAGATGAGGCGTGTTAAAGCCTTTTATGAACTGTAAAGCATCATAAAAAATAGAAAATCCCTCAGGACATCTTGTTTTTGCATAAATCAGAAACTAATTTTCTATAAAAATTCTTTTTGCCTTAGAATCACCTCTCTTTAGAACAAACTAGTTTGCTCAAGAAAACAGGTCATACTGACCTTTCATTTGGGGGCCAGACACCAAGGTATCAAGATTCGTTCCAATTTTATAGCATTATATAGAAGTTCCAAGATAGGAATTCATAAAGCATTGGGGTGATTTACTCTGTCACTGATCTATTCATGAAGTTCATATCCATACCTCGCTTCTACACTTGCTCAGCTGTATAAGATGCTTCTTAGATTGCTGTCCTATTGACCTCATGTCATGGCAACCCCATGAGGTAGGTTTATTACTTCTGTTTTACAGATAAGGAGATTGAGACTAACAGAGTTTAAGTAACTTGCCGACAGAAATTCAGCGAGAAATTAACTGTTTTCTTTAAAAACCTTTTTTTATAAAATTAAATCTAGTTGTTTTTTGGGCAGGGGGGCTGTGCTGTGCAGTATGTGGGATCTTAGTTCCCCTACCAGGGAGCAGATCTGTGCCCCTCTGCACTGGAAGCATGGAGTCTTAATCACTGAACTTCTAGGGAAGTCCATATCTAGTTATTTTCATCTGTGCTAGAAGATATGAAACAAGTGTCCCCTCCTTATTAAATCATCAACACATGTACAATCATTCTTCAGTTAAAAAAAAACATGCAAGTGAAAAATAAATTGACGGAAAACATGCAAAGACCAAAATTTCAGAAGTTCTGTTTTGGTTTTGTTTTTACGGGCTGAAAGCAGAAACTTCAAATCAGTTTTTCAAGGAAAAATGGGAAACGAAGTGAAAATAAGCCTGGAAATTTCAGGAAGAATGAAAAAGACTGGTTTATGAGGACTTTAGGCTGTCAGCTCTCACTTTCGCCAGACATCTTTCTTGTTGATTGACCGCTCAGATGTCTGGAAGGAATGGGAGCTGTTTTCACCTCACATTTTCCCCTCTGTTCCTTCAGACAATGAACTGGAGCCCTCGGGCCTGAAGCAGATGTTTTCCTCCCCACTCCTTGTCATTTTGCTCTTCTGTGTCTTCTATGAATCCAGTATTTCCTGGCTTCTGTGGGCCAAGCTAATCTGACTCTCAGTTACAACACGGCAGCATCACTTTATTGTCTTCATCCCCTTACCTCCACGTTCTTGGCTCAATTTCTGACGAAGCTCAAGGACCAACTTTATCTGTAAGGTTGCAGGATGTGAGGGAAGTAGAATACTCTCTTCATCTTCATTTTATTTCTATAATCCCACCTTCACCTCTGCTGGCCCAGAAGCATCAATACCCATTTCTCTAAAAGCATTAGGAGTTGCCTCCAACCTTCAGAAGAGCCTCCATCTAGTGAGTCTGATGAGTCCACTCCCCACAGGTATGTGAATTGAGCAGGTCAACTGTGAGAACTGGCAGCAGGCTTGGCTGGGCACCAGGAGGAGAGGTGTCCACAGGGAAGGAGCTACTGCCACTACCAAGCAAAGTTCTGTCCAGCTAGAAATGGCCTACACTAAGACCATCACTTGGAGAAGGAAATGGCAACCTGCTCCAGTGTTCCTGCCTGGGAAGTCCCATGGACAGAGGAGCCTGGTGGGCTACAGTCCATGGGGTCGCAAGAGTTGGACATGACTGAGTGACTAAACCACCACCCACCAAGACCATCACTGTAGAAATCCTACCCATTTTCAAGGTCCATCTCACATTCTTTATATACATGGCTTCTCTGAGTCTTCATTGCTGTGCACGGGTTTCCTCTGATTGCGAGGAGCAAGCTTCTCAATGAAGTGACTTCTCTTGTTGTGAAGCATGGACTCTAGGGCGCACAGGCTCAGGAGTTGTGGCACATGGGCTAAGTTGTCCCGAGGCATGTGGAACCTTCCCAGACTAGGAATCGAACCTGTGTCCTCTGTTTGACAGGCAGATTCTTAACCACTGGACCATCAGGGAAGTCCCTACCTCACACTCTTGACCTTGACCATCTCAGCTGGAAGAGACATCCATCACAGTGCTGCTCTGTAAAACATAGAAGCAGCATGTATCACTGACCACCAGTGGTGTATCACTGACTACCACTTATTTGTCAGAGTGATTTGGTTTCCCTCCTAGACAGTCAATTCCCCGAACTAGAATTAAATCTCATGCAGCCTTGGACCCAAAACAGCACCCAGCCTAGTGCCTTGAACACAGGAAGTGCTCAATAAGTTATTGAGTTTTAAAACTAATGGCTTTTTTAGATTTCTGCAGTATTCTAGGTGTAATGGTCATAAAAAGCATATGTGAGAAAATCTCTACACCCTTGGAAATTAAATGAAACACTTAAAAATAATCCATTATTCAGAGAGGATGTCTCTAGGAAAATTAGAAAATATTTTGAACCAAATGAAAATGAAGATCTAACTTATCAGAATTTATGGAACTTATAACAGTGCTTAGAGGGAAACTTATGGGATGAAATACTTAAGAGTAGAAAAGAAGAAAGGTATGAAATCAATTATCTAAGCTTATACCTTGAGAAACTAAAACAAGAAGAGCAAATCAACCTAAAGCAAGCAGAAGGAAGGAAATAACAAAATAAGAGTAGATATCAGCAAAGTTGAAAAAAAAATAGAGAAAAACAGTGAAACCAAATGATCATTCTTTGAGAAGATCAACAAAACTGATGAACATCTAAGTTAAAAAGGAGAGAAGACACATAATTACAAGCGTCAGGAATGTAAGAGAGATATCACTACAGACAGACATTAAGGAGATAATAAAGGAATTACTGTGAACAACTCTACACACACAAATCTGACAATTTACATGAAATGGACCAGTTTCTCAGAAGCCACAACTATCAATTCAGTCATGATAAAACCGATAATCTGAACAGTCATATAATGATTAAAGACATTGAATTTATGGTTTTAAAACCAGTTGAAAAAGAAATCTTGGGACTTCCCTGTCAGCCCAGTGGTCAGGACTCTGTGCTTCCATTGCAGAGGGCACTGGTTCCATCCCTGGTTGGGGAGGAAGATCCCACATTTTGCATGGCAAGGCCAAAAAGAAAAAGAGAAAAGAAATTTCCAGACCCAGATGGCTTCCTGGCAAAGTCTAAGGGCAAAAAGAAGAGGAAGAAACACTTCCCTACTTAAATTTGATGAGGCCACCATTATTCTGATACTGAAACCAGACAAGGACATTACAAGAAAAGAAAACTTGAGATCCATATCCCTCATGACCATATATGTAAAATTCTCAACAAAATATTAGCAACTTGAATCCAGAGATACAAAACAATAAGAGCATGACTAAATGTCCTTCAGTGAGTGGATAGGGCAATGATAGTCTTCTATATTCTCACTGTGGTGATGGGTGCACAATATGTATTACAAGTCACAGAAATGTATACACACACACACAAACTCGTCACTTTTACCATATTAATTTCTACAATAAAGTTTAAAAACGTGTGTGACGTGTGTATGCTTTGTGATGATGATAACTGGCGTTTGTATTATACTTTATTTTATTTAATTTTTTATTGAACATT